CCATTGTTGCATTCAACATACCACATGACACACAAAAATTGATGTTTAACTGTGTTTTTTCAATAGTTAGTTTTAAATTAAGAATTTGAGTAAAGTATAATACTAAAATTTGAATTATAATCAACAGTTTGATACCAAACTTATTGATACAAATTCATGAAATAGTAGTTCAATAAAATTTTGAATGTGAGTCAAGAAACGTGATGACATGGCCTTTCACCCATGACCCGTCTGGAAAGGGTTAAAAAACACTAATGCCATTGTACCAAGCAGTAAATTTTGTATTATTTAAAGTATATTTTTGAATCAAAAGCATGAAATGGGTGCTAAAATCTTGTACAGTGTTTCACATTTAAAACTACCATTCATCATGTGCAGCCAGTTATGAGAAGGTTACTCTTAATGAAACAGAAAAGCAAGCAAAGAGAATTAAAAAATAAAACAGATTATTGAAAATGGAACTGGGTTGATAAGTAAATTTCATCTTATAAATTAGTATTCCAGCATCAAGAAATATGAGGTGTCTAGGTTAAAAATTACAATCATTTGAAGACTTTTGTTAGTGATGATTGAAATACATGAACTTTGAATGAAAGTTCTTGATGTTTAGCAATATTAATTACATGTAAAAACTACCAGATTCATCAGTATTCTATTAAATAATATATTAGAAATATAAATACTGTATTAAATACTATAAATTACATGTTCTTTTTAGTTATTTTTTCTCCTATTTTTGCAAGAAGTTACTGATATAGAAGTCTTTCCAGTAATACTTTTGTTAATCTCTTAGGCTCTTGTATTTATCTTTCATCAGTTAGTATAAAAAGTATATTGAATTTTTTCCAGGAGTAAAAAGTATTATGGATAGCACTAGAATGATTTGTGGTTCAACAGGTATAAGTTACAAAGCTGGTCTATAGCATTATAATCCTCTTTAGAACATTATAGAATTAGGGTACTTTATATATACATATTCAAAATATCAAGAAGAGTGGGTTGATCTGTATATAGGCAACTGATTAGAGATGTAGAAAGGCTGGTAATTGTGAGTTAAAACAGAATGACAGAGGTTATTGTTACAAGTTGTAGAAGGTAGAATGCAAGCAAACTATTTTTGGAATAGATTGTTAAAAGAAATGTAGTATAGTGTTAACTTGTAACTTTATTTGATAAGATTATGAAGTGAAAAACTTTTTTTTTCTACTTACAAGCTCAATACATTTTTATGATGCGTTTCTCTGAAATAATATTTGAGTTTATAAAAAGATTTTTATGGCATTTTAACACCTTATTTTCAGACTTAAAGAAGTTGCAGATAAAATTAATAAAGTGGGTATAACTAGGACGGCCGTCCCAGATCAACTGAATACAGCTGTTGTGAAACAGTGTGCTGTGGGACCTAACCATGTGGCATTTTTACTTGAGGTAAAGTTGAGGTGGAAGAGAGAATATTTGATATAATTGTTTTAAGTGTTATCAGTTGAAATTGTAAAGTATGGGAAAAAGAAAGAAGCCTGTTTATTCATAATTTGATTTTTCTTCATAATCCAGTCTCATGCTAATTTATGATTTGCTAGGTGAAACTGTAATAGTTATTGAACTTGTACTACTTCTACTTATTATAGAAAGTGTGATTGTACTTTATAATAAACTGAAATTAGCAGGTAATGATTATAAACTATAAGGTAGTACCAAAGATCTACCCATCTAATAACATACACATTGGTTTGCATTCTCTGCGTGTCCCATATCACCAGAGAAACTACTGCAAAATATAACTTTTGTCTTTGAAAAAACTTCTGGGTAAGGTAGACTATAAATAGATCTATATTGCAAAGGTTATGCTTGTTTTCCTTGTTAAACAGGTCACCATTACTAATGACTTAGAAATCAAAAACTTAATATGGACACTTTATTCAGTAATATATAACAACTTTGAATACTTTATAATAAATCACTTTTAGTTTATTTTTATGCTGAAGCAGATAAAGTAGTAAGTATTTTAGCCTTTTTTCATACACACAGTGTTCATGCTAGCATGTAAATTTTTAGTCATGGGGATCCAATCACTTGATAAAAATGTGGTCTGCCTGCAATCTTACACAAAACATAACAAAAATCAGAATTTTTAATTTTTTTATTTATTACTCCCTAACTGTAGAAACATTTGAACATTTTCTATATTGTATTAGTTTGTCCATGAAAGTTTTCATTTCTTTTTCCACCATGGGATCCTTGTTGTATAGAATTTTAAAGTTAGATGATGCTACATTCAAGTCAAATTGCCATGTGACAAATTCCATAAAATGGAAGAGAACATTTCTACAGGATATTGTGTAGTTGTTGTGATGTCAAATTGAAGCATAATGCAGTCAAGTAATCTAAGTTTTATTGAAAACTATACACTGATAGATAGGATTAAATGAGCAAAATGAATGTAATTTTAATATGCATTCCTGCATTTTTCTCCAACCTTCATATTAGAATTTGTGTATTTATCCATTAAAAGTGCATTATCATGGACACTGATATCTAATTAACATTTTTTAGATATCTTCTTGTATTCTTTTTCCAGCAGGTGTCTCAACTTGTTAACCTCACTATGGGAAGGTCAGAGTGGGCATTCAGGATATTCGAAATTTAATTAAACTATTTTATTATCCTTGTACACAAATAAACTTGCCATCAAAACATAGTTACTAAGTGAAATTTTAATATTATTTAAGTTTTAAGTTCTTAATTTTATAAGAAAATATCTTAAAAAAGTCCATACAGAGTTAGAATAGAGAAAATAACAGATAAAATTTAAAATTTTATTGAAAACTACATTTGATATTTATTTAGGAGGTTTTAGAGGTCATAGAAATGAAACTTAGAAATTTTCAGATGAAGAAAAGTATCAATCAACACACCAATTTCATATATTCATGGACAGATCTTTAGTAAAAATAGTTAATTTAAAAATAAAATTTTTTGTTTACAAAGACCTGTAATATTTACTGAAAGCTTGCCAAATTTTGGATAGAAATGCAAAATATATTAAGCCTATTAAAAAGATCTATCTCAGTTGTAAGTAGGTTACATAACTCTCATGGAATTTCTTTCCAAAAATGAAAGTAGTGGTTGAAATTGTTTGGAATTTGACAAGAGACTTTCATTATTTAATGTTGTTTGCACTTGGACTCTGAATATTTCACCTGCAAGGTGAGTTTTTTGTTAGTATAATAATACTTTTTATATCTTATATTTTTAACATTTCACTTGCATAATCTCTAGAACTTCCTAAATGAATATCAAAAGTTTTTAAGGTAAATGTTTGTATTCCCGAAACATACTTACCTTCTCTAACACTTTAGCTTTATCCTGATCAAAGTATTGCTTCTCTGACAATCTAAGCATTGGTACCTCATATACTCCCTTTTTATATCTCACTATATAGCCCGTAGCAATTTAAATCTCATGATTCTCTCCAATGTGCCCTTATAGCAGATCCTTATATAATCTCCTCGTTATTACTTCCTGTTTACTTTTCTTAATGGCAGAATGTTATGACGACAGTTTTAAGTGCTCGCTGTGGGTTTCTGTTACATGTTGTATAACTTTAGTTATATCTACGCTTTGGATGATTTTTTAATCCATCCGTTTTGGTTTTAAGTTCATTGATTATTTAAAAAAAAAAAATCTGAGACATTTCAGTTATGAATTCTCAGATTCACATCTCTGACACAGAGTCTCCTAGTGCTCCTAATCTGCCACCTCTGGAATCTAGTATTGCCCAGCCATCAGTGGGAGGCCCCTTTTTTGCAGAGAACATCCAATTCCTCATATGCTGAGAGGTGGAGTCTTACATGAGGTCTGAGGTTTCTTCACCTGTTGACTCAGAAGCTGAGCTTGCAGGGGATGAGGGGGGTGGACTGGTGAGAATTTGGACTCTATTTTTTCCAGCCACTTCTTTTGCTTAGACAGTTAATCATGAGCCTCGGACAGACATCCAGCCTCCTGCACCATTTTTACACTTGGTACATCGAGTATTGAGTATTTCTCCTGTGGCTTATTACTCTTCTCCATTTTTGTTGGGGGAAAGTTATTCAGCTGATTATCTCGTTTTTCCACCTTTGCCAGACATTGCTGTGCATGCTCTGAGATTTACTGATCAACTGAGAGGGTGCTGCCATGCCTTGTCCTTCCCATTTATTGGATCAGCATTCCTTAGCTTTCTATTACTTGGAGGACCAATATTTAAATTCTCAGAGGTTAGATCGTTTTCTCCCTCTTTGGGGTTGTAGGCCTGATGCCACTATTTGTCTGAACTTTACACATTTTCCTGGCTTTGTCTGTCCCTTACAACAATTTAGTGTTTTTTATCTTTTTTGCAAATTTGTCTGAGGCCTATCACAGGTCACCTGCTCAATTTTCAGAGGATCTTAGTCATTTATTAACTTCTGCTTTGTAATGGTTATCAGCTTCTGCTCTTTCCTTGATCTCTTTGTTGGTTTGTTGCTGAGATCTTTTAGAGAGAGATGCCTTACTTGAGAGCTGTCAACTTCCTTCTTTGGCCACTTGGAGATCTCAGAGAAGCTCCTTTTCTTAGACATTTGATTTTTGCAGGTATTCCAGATTCCATGGAAGCTCAGATGGATGTGGCCCATCTTCATTCTTCTCTTTTGACAATGGCCTCTCGCTTTTCCTGATCTTTTACCAGACGTACCACACAGTTTCTTGCATCTCCTGTATGGGTTTTCAGACCGCTGGCTTCAATTCCACATTCTATCCGAACACAAAGGAGATTCCACCCTTATCATTGGGTATCCTCCACTCATGTGGAGCACTGACAACGGCATTGGTGACTACCCTATGAGTTCTGGTCCTGTGGGGGCTCGCCTCAGATAGTTTGTGTCTGTATGGGAGACCTTTTTCTCCATTCAGTGGGTCATTCAAATTCTTACAAGTGGATTGGTTCTTCCTTTCATGGCTCCTCCATTGTCTATCATACCAGTTGTCTTTCCCCTCCCCAAGGATCTTCTGCACAAAGAGGCCATACATAATGATGAAAGTCTTCCAGATATATCCGGAAATCCGGATATTTCTAAAAAATCCTGAAAACCTCCGGTTTTCTTCCGGAGAAACACATTTTTTAAAATCATTTATCGGATTTTGGTGTTCCATGCCATAGATAAACGTTTATGCAATCGAGCGGTTTGTTTACATTCGGTGAATGAGTTTGATTTTACAATGAATATATGTC